ACACACGTGGCTCCTCAACCAGATCTCTGTTTGATCTCGGACAGACATGCCTCCATTGAAAGTGCCTATAATAATCCGGCAAATGGTTGGCATGACCCTCCTTCTACGCATGTCTATTGCGTCAGGCATATCGTCCAGAATTTCTCGAGGGAGGTCAAGGACAAAACATTGAGGAAAGCGGTGATGAATGCGGGATACGCACTGACACAACCCACATTCAAATATTACCGCAACGAGATCGTTTGTCTAACCCAGAAGCCGGTACGTGGATCGACAATATACCGGTCGAAAAGTGGACTAGGTCATACGACAATGGCCAAAGATGGGGGCATATGACAACAAATCTTATTGAATCAATGAATGGGGTATTCAAGGGCATACGAAACCTCCCCATCACTGCCTTGGTGAAATCCACGTATTTTAGGATGGCTGCGTTATTTGCCAAAAGAGGTGAAATGTGGTATGCGGTCTTGCAATCAGGACAACTATGGAGTGAAAGCTGTATGAAATACATTAAGGCTGAAAGTGCTAAAGCCAACACTCACATGGTTACACGGTTTGACCGCCATAGCCACAACTTCATTGTGAAAGAGACAATTGACCACAATGAAGGCCTGGCAAGACAAGAATACAGGGTCATTTTACCTTCTCAATGGTGCGATTGTGGCAGGTTTCAAGCTTTTCGTATGCCTTGCTCTCATGTCATTGCCGCTTGTGCGCATACCCATCAAGACGCGCTTCAACTGCTCTCAAACGTTTATAAATCTGAAACGTTGCTCACTGTTTACAACAACAACTTTCCTTTGGTGGCAAAACCGGACTATTGGCCTGAATACAACGGTGATATAGTTTGGCACAATGACCAAATGCGAAGGAACAAGAAGGGTCGTCCCAAAAGCAGGCGCATAACAACAGAAATGGACGATCTTGACAGGTTGGAAAGAAAGTGTGGTTTATGCCGTCAGGTCGGACACAATCGCAAAAACTGTCCGAATCGGGCGTCTGGCTCGACCACATAAATTTTGTAATACAATAAATCTTTTCAATATTTGTGTTGTAAACATTATGGGTTTTCCGTTAATAAAACTGTTCACACAATTTAAGAAATTCAATATAGGAAATTACATTAGGGTTTTCGCGTACAACAATGATTAACGATATTCAATCTAGGAAATTACAACTGTTAACACAATTTCATCTGACCCATGCATCATCAGCATTACATCACTGTCTATTTTGACTTCCTCCAACCACACATTAGGTCTTCCTGTCGCATGCGAGGTTGTTGTTCGTTTTCGCTGGATCCTTCGAATTTTTCCCCCCTCGGCGATGTCTCCATCTAGCCACCGCATCAACTCCCGCTTCAGACGCTCCATGGAGTGAATGTGCCAGAATTTCATTTTCATCGCAGGTTTCGTGGCGGAGAATATAACGTAACCATCTCTGCTAAAAATCATAGGCGACGTCATTACGTAAATAAGGGAGTACAAAATAAAAATACAGTGCGAGAAAGTGTGAGAAATTTCAAAGAAACGGACGAATTATTTATAAAACAGCAAAAAACCCTAGTTTTGCCCTAGGCGCCAAGTGAGATGGCGCCTCCTCTCCTTTTTAAGGAGCATGCGCCATCTCACTTGGCTAAAAGCCAAGGGAGGCGCCAAGTGAGATGGCGCCTAGGGCAAAACCCTAGGTGCATGCGCCAAATGAGATGGCTCCTCCTTTGTGGAGCCATCTGAAACATGGTTATTTGCGTAATTTTTTCCGAAACCCGGTTATTTGCGAAATATTTTTTTAATACATGGTTATTAATAAAAAAAATTCGTAGTTTGTGGTCAAACAACTTTACACTTTTCTAAATAGTTCAAGAACAATGTATTTTGACTCAAAATTTAACACAGATGAGATATTTGATACTCTTTACCAGTTAATTGTATAAAATATTTTTTTCCAAATTTTTTAATAATAAAAAAGTCTAAATACTTTTTTGTCCCTTAGTTTTACCTTGGGGTCCACATAGGTTCCTTAGCCTTTAAAAGACCAATTTGATTATTTATCTCTTCAAATAGCGTCATATAAGTCATTTTTGTATAATTCTAAAAAATGACGTCTAGTATTGCACGTGTGGCATCTAAGTGGCATTTGTTCATCACCATCTTCGTCTTCACTACGTATGTTCTGAACTGTTTAGTCAAACAAACTCTAAATCGGATTAGGTTTCAATTTTTATTGATTACCATCACCATTGTTTCTTGAAATTGTGATTTTTTATAAATTACGAGTTATGTGCATTGTTCATCCTTAAGAAAAACAAAGAGTTATGTAAGTTTTGATTAGGAGGTTTTGATAATCCATATTTTGTAAGTTATTATATACTCCAGTGATTTGAATACATTATCCTGAGACAAAATTGTGCAACTTGGCATAGAGTGAAGTGTTATACCGATGCTCAATATTGACAATACTTTTTTGAAATGACACTCTGATTGAACTTAACTGCAACTTTAATATGGTATTCACAATATCCCAACTTCGACATAAATCACCTCGACTTGTAGTCATCATGTTTTCTAGTCTCCAATGAGCAGACTCCACCCTAAAATCCATAAATAGAAATAGATGTTTCAAACTGATTTTGAAACATAAATAATAATAACATCAAATTGTCATGATCCGGGTACTTGTTTGTTGTTGTGTTCCCTAAATGAGTGCCTTTGTTAGTCCATGGAGCAACAAATATTTCTTTATGAGGTGTTAACCATGTTTCATTCACATACTTAACAAATAAAGGAATATCAACACAAAAATTTTCAAAGTGTTTGAAGTGTTCGCCAAACTCAGTTTCTCTATTTTAATACATGATGTTGCTCCATAGATCCATAACATGTTATTCTCTTTCTGATTTGGCGTACTCTTTACATTTCATACTCACATTTTTTGAAATATGGAACGAACACAATAGATGAGTTGCATTTGGGAACACATATTCCATGACATTCATCAATGCAAGTTCTCGGCCCGTCACCACAACCTTCTGTAGCAATTTTTCTGAAGAGAACAACTTTTTGAGCTTCTTCAGTGCCCATGTGAAATTTCCATCCCTTTAATCTTCCAAATATGAAAAGACAACTGAAAACTTCAATTTCGTTGACATAACACCAACAATCTCAAACAGACGTCTCTGGTATCTGCACAATCAAAATGCACATAACCAAACAACTCACTCAACATGTACAATATATTTTAGGATGTGAAAAAGGAAAGTTCTTACCTATTTGTCTTGTACGTGCAATAAAAAATTAACACCAACTGAAACATATCCAACGACTTCATAGAGTCTGAATGAGTCCAGAAGATATCAGCTACAATATCTATGTTGTCCCTATTTCTAGTCCAACACATGCATTTCTCTTTATGAATAAGACTCAATAACATTTTCATTTCTACCATTGTACCTCTCTTGCCAATTCTTTATGTAGATCTAGTTTTATACACCTGGATAATACTCGTGAGGTTTTCTGAATTTTTGTCTTTCAAAGCAGAAATTATGTACATTGGAGCCATATTGTGCTTCATCATGTCATTCACAAACTTTCTTTCATGATCTTTTAGACGACCCAATATGCCATGATCTTCCAAACCCTTATCTATCATATGATTATGCATCCCGTATCTAAATATCACCTTCCAACTGATACCACTTGGAATAAATCTCAACCTAAACAAATGTTTAACCTTCCTACTATAAATGCCATAAAAGAAATTAGTGATTTCAAATGCATTTTTTCTTTTATAATTTTCTCCTCTCTCACAATTCATAATTAATTTATCCTTCCTCCCTCGCATTCCATTAGCAGAGTCAGAACGAATAGTTACAGCAATAATACCAAGTTGTTTATCAGTAGATTGTGCTCATGCTAAAACTTTAGACCGGAAATTAAAAATCTGTCAATTACAATATATAATTATTAAACTTTCAATTTCATAAAGGATGGAAAACAATTAAAACTGCATTAGTTCAATAGGAAGCATACAATATATGTGGGAAAGAACTCCGTAAAATCTATACAGGAATCCGTAGAAGAAGTTGCAGACTCTGGACGTTTTAGAAATTCCAGTAACTTCCGGTACGTGTGTTTAGTTTTCTTGATATCACCGGAAATTTCAAAATTTCTAGTAATTCGCCTTCGGAAATTCAAAATTTACGGTAAATAGCCATTGGAAATTTTGAAAGCGCAAACAATTTCCAATAAAATGAGCTATTTAATACCAAAAATTTTGTTATGAGTACCAAAAATATCATTTTCACCCCCTTGACCAATAATATATTTTTTAACAAATATAATTTTTTTAGACGTAAATAATAACAAAGGCATTTTTTAAATTATAAAATTGGGGGTGTTAGGCATAATTTGGGGGTGAAAAGTATAATCCTCCAATTCAGAACATCCTACAAATCCAACCCAACCTCAACTATCCACAAATAGAATTCTTGTCACACAACCTAATACATTATCAATGACACTTGACCATTGATCTATCATCTGAACCAGATACTACTGCCATTCCTTGAGTTGCTTGAAGATTTTGGCACTCTCTTGGATCCTTCAATCAAGGTGGAGCAAACATGTGAGCACTCTCTTGGATCCTTCAATCAAGACTCATCTTAATGATGGTCAAATGATTATAGATTTAGGTGCTTAACGTCATCATATAGGAAGATTGTTGTACCTCATCACCACTAGACCAAACATAACATTTGTTACTCAACAATTGAGCCAATTTATGTTTGCTCCCAATGACAATCATCACAAAGTTGATGTTTATTTTAAGCCTCCACTTATTGCAGTGTGCCATGCCTTAGTTTGAATGTGGAGCATTTACCCAACTAATAATAATAGTCATTATCAGTCCTAGTACACATAAACATTACAGTCAACCTATGCTCAATTCGTGTGCAATTTGAACTTGTAACATTCTTGGAGAAAGTTTAATCTCAAAAGTTAACCTGTTCTCCATAAGGGCATTTTATCTTTTACGTAACTTTTAATGGCTTCTATAACCTTGACAGAAAATGTCTCATCCTCGGGATAATAGGCAACAGGATCTTGTATTAGAGGAAGTGATAGGTTGAGAACACCTTCAAGTGTTGCATGTAAGCAATATGCTGAATATGTTACATGATATCCACCTTCCTGCACAATAAGAACAAGCCCGTCACTATGTCTCGTCGCAAGATCATGAACTATCCGCCCGATTTCTCTATATCCTTCCATTGTCAAGCATTGCCTTCCATTTGGATCGAACTGAACCACAAGCAGAGTTTAAAGTAAGTAACTGAAGCACAATAAAATTATAAATGAGCAACAGCGAAAAAACGATAAATAGAACAACTTACTGCACTTGAGTCTTGTCCTATAACCAACACTATCATATCCGGCTCAAATTTATCGATCAACGGAACAACCAACTTATTGAAGGCATATACATATCCTTTGTCCCCAGTTCCATTTGGTAGAGGTATGTTAAGGTTATAACCATAACCTTCTCCTTCACCTAACTCATCAACAGAACCATTCTGCGGATGAGACGGACCCCATGATCCATGGTTCATATGAAGAGAGATTGTAAGAACTTTATTACATGAATAAAATCCCTCTGCTGTGCCATTTCCATAATGAACATCAATATCTATAACCGCAACTTTTTTACATCCGGAATCTAAAGCTAACTGTACTGCTAGACCCGCGTTGTTAAGGAAACAGTATCCGTCGGCCTGAGAAGGCTGAGCGTGATGACCGGGCGGCCTAACCAAAGCATAAGCAATTTTTCCATGTCCATCTAGCAAATGCTTCATGGAAGACAGTGTTGTGCCAGCAGCTAGAAGTGCAGCATCCCATGACCCAGGGTTCAAGAATGTGCCGGTACAAAGCGTCTTTCCGCCTTCTTTATCAGCTTCTACCAGTTCATTTATGTACTCTAAGAAATTACAATATTTGAAATTATATCATGGATTGTTTTGTAAGTATAGCAGAGTTAGAAAACTGAGAGAATATCAGAATAAGAGAAAATAGAAAAAACAATTTGTGGTACCTGAACTGTGAATTCTGAATTATGATTTCACAAACATACAAAAATGTTAGATAGGAATTAATCATAGTGTGTGCACTGTATTTGTTTTATCCGAATTAAGTAATTGTAAGAGCTAATTTATATTATGTAACTAGAAAAAGATATGGGAAGTGAAAGTACCAGGAGTGTGAAATGAAAGGAGCTCATGGATGAGAGCGTGTCTTCCAATGTTCCAAGAAAGATGGGGAGAGATAGGGCCTCTTTTGAGGATGGAAACCATGTTTTTGACTCTGTCTGAGTTTTCAGGATGTTTTTCCAACACGTCTAGAAAACCGGGATCAATTCCTGTGTCGAAAACTCCGTTGCCGGTATCATGATTGAGCATACCTTCATGCCAGAAAACGGCTATTTGGTTCGCCGTCCAAGATTCTGATGCTGCGTCTGTATTCCTTGCCATCACAAATAAAGGCTTTGTTGGTTTGACTAATGCTACTTTCACACCAAACCCTTACATCTACACCCAATACTTCACAAATAGGTGAACAATATATTTTTCTATTTTTTTTACAAATTATTTTAATCAATGAAATATTAAAATTTGGTTAATACAGTTTAAAATTTGAAAAAATATAATATGTATATGGTTCAGATTTTGATTAATAATTTGTATAAAATTATTTAATACTGTTCATAACTTAATTAATAAGTATATATATATATATATATATATATATATATATATATATATATATAAAATTAAAATTAATTAGTAGAATATAAAAATTGGTTAATACATTTATAATTTAGTATTAGATTATAATTAATACTATGTATTTTATTAGTTAATAAATAGTGAAAATGGTTAATAAATTATAACTAAAATAATTGATTAATAATATATATTTTTGTGGTTAATACAATTGTGAAATTGATTAATAACACAATTATATATTTGTATTATAAAATAAGTTTTAAAAATAAATATTTAAAAAATAATAATATTTTTTAAAAATTACATTATTTTAATAAAAATATATTGTTCACCGTATAAATACAGTGAATAATATATATATAATATAACTATTTGGTGTTAAATTTAGTGTCAAAATAGCATTCTTTCTTGTTGGTTGGCCACCTTCAAATTTTATCCATTCAATTCACTTCTCTATAGAAAATAATGATAAACTAGATATTTTTTTTATTTAATATAAGTCCTTGAAATAAAATAAGATATTGTTTATTTTAAAAACTCTATAACATAAAAAATAAAATTAGCATAACAAAAAAATAGTTTAATTTTAATTGAAAAGTAATATATTTATGAATAATTGAATGTAAGACTACATATCAAATTGAATTTTAAAAGGTAAAAGAAATTTTCAAAATTGAAGTAAATTTATTTGCTTTTTATTACTTTTTTTTATTAAGTTCATTTGTTTTGATTTTATGGATTTTTGAATCTTTAATTTGTGTATAAGAAGCGACTTATTGTTAGAGGATAATATTTTAAATTATTTATTGTTACTATTTATTTTTTAGTTTTGTACTTGTATATTTGCAAAAGATAAACAGAAGGCAACATAAGATTCATCAAAAGCGAGTGGATAATGCCCATCGCCCAAAGTAGAACTATTAATTGTCCATTTAACACAATGTGCACACATTTATTACAACATGCGCCCATTATTTGTAGCATTCGTTCTCTGATAGAATAACTCGCCTACTTACAAAAATATGGAGAGTGATGTGTCCTACCCAATAACGGTACGGAAACCTCAGTCAAATGGGAAACACCATGTCCTTCTGAAGAATAGGGAAAATAATGGCTCCACGCTCATAGGCGGAGAGAATAAATTGTCCATAGATCCTAGGACCCAAGCCCAATCAATCTATATAAATATCTCAATCACTCGATTGAGAGGGGACATTCAATTTACTCAACAATCTCGCATATACAAAACTTTTCACAATCCCTGCATGATCTTGCCCTAACACCACAACAAACCTAAACCCTCAAACAACCCTACACAACTAGAGGTCTACTCATTATACTTTTAGCAAATACAATTGACACTCGTCGTAGGGCTAGATAAATCTAAAATGGACCACAGACGTCGACATTAACCATTTTTCTCTTCACCTTCCCAAAGAGGATAGAAAAACGAGATTTCAAGATTGCTATCAACACCATCGTCGAAGGATTTTCCGCGTATGGGGGGGGGGTCTAGTTTTTCCCGTAAAAAAATGTCATGCAGGTTTTAACGGAAAACATTATGCCCACTGACCCTAAAGTAAATCAGGAGAAGGAGCTAGATTCTAAAATCACCTTCTCCAACAAAGACACCATCGATATTCTCCCTCACAATAATGATCATGTGGTCATTATGGTACTATCAAATGATTGGGATGTGAAGTGAGTCTTGATTGACCTTGGAAGCTCAGCAAATGTCCTATTCAGGATCACCTTTCGAGGGATTCAACTTGACCTAGATGACATTAGAGCATTCCAAGGTTATCTAGTTGGCCATTCAAGCAAGCAAGTATAAGTTAAAAGCCACATAATGCTCAAAATAATGTTCAGTTTGGAGGCAAGTGCAAAGATAGTCAAGGTAAAATATATTATGGTAGAAACCTTGTCTATATACAGTCCATCCAGGGGAAGCTCACCCCCAATCTATTGTGAGAAGTCTTGTCCACCCTCCATTTAAGCATGAAGTACCCAAGAATGTTATCAAAACAGACTGGAAAAAAGAAGGGGCCGATCGTTGCAGCTGCCACCCCGCAACTCGACACACACGAAGTAGATGCTCTAAGTTGGAATCCTAGATCGGAGACAGAGAACAAAAGGCTCACTCCCACAGAGTATCTAAAAGAGGTACGGATTGGACCCTACCTAATTTTGAGGAGGAGAAGGAGTTGGTCACCATATTGAGAAGGAAAATAGGCGTGGTTTCTTAGGCACTCTCTTACATGTCGTGGATATATACCAAGGTGGTTTTTCATTGCTTCTCCATTGATTCCACGGTGAAGTTAGTTCTCATAGAAAACACAAAGTGGGTGAAGAAATCAGGGCGGCCATTGATGAAGAGGTTCAGAAGGTGGGAAGTGTCGACTTTATTACTAAGTTTAAGTACTCATCTCGGTTGGATAGCATAGTCTTGGTGAGGAAGTGTTTATTGTAAAATTTCGTAAACAATTGCTAGTCCTCCAAATGATAGTTTGGTTGCTTGCAGGATCGACTAGATTGATCCTAGGATATATGTGTATAGAATTTCCTAAGTCATTTATGACTAAAATAATGAAGACTTCAATATGAATCGAAACTTCAGCAAAATATGAAAATAATTTGCAAAGAGAAAATGAATATAAAAGACTTCGACACAATGATAAAAGTGCAGAAAAATAACTTAAAAGACATAATTTTTCATTAAATGAAAATGGTGTTTCATACGTACATTTCACTTAGTTTTGACTCTTTTCTTAATTTTCTAGATACTTTGAGTAATATGAGTTTTGTATACAATTGAAAACCCGAAAATCTAACATCTAGAACCCCTTTTTATACTAAAATCAAAATAATTGTTTTGGACGGCCTTCTCTTCAGAATTTGACATGTTGTCATTTGCATGTGTCCCATCTTTGATTTTCTTCCACGCGTCCTCATAAGTGAATAAGGTGGAAAAACAGTTACTCCAGCCTATCTTTGAATTTTTAACTTTCGCGGTCGAAATAGTATCTAAACCAAATGTATATATAGGAACCTCAACACTTTGCCGTTGAAAACACCTTCAATAGATTTTGTCGAAGAACAACTAAAACGCCTAAGCTTATTTCAATGCTCCCCTAATCACCTTAGAAAGACAACACGTCAAAAAATCCATCTAACAAATTGCACCCCGAAAATGTCATTTTCAACCAAAGGAGAAAATGGACACTTTTTTTGAACATTTTGACGTCTCATGGTTATCATTATTCTGACGTCATGGCCATTATGGCCACTTTACCCAAATGTCTTCTCGATAAGTGCAACAGCTCTAAGCAACAATGATACCTCCTACTCTCTAGGAGGAACATGGACCCTCAACAAAATCAACCGTCAGATTTTGCATTAGATGATCAAAATGGCCAAATGACCTTTTTTCTCATTCTTTCGAATGAGTGTCGGATCCAAATGACCTTTTCTCGACACTGATTTAATGACTATATCGTCAATGTAAATTTGCATAAATGTCTCGATATAATCATGAAAAATAGAATTCATTATTCTCTGATAGGTTGCACCAACATTCTTTAAGCTAAAAGGCGTCACTATCCATTCGTAAGTGCCTAAGGCTCCTGGACATCGAAACACCATCTTCGGCACGTCTTCATCTATAATAAAAAATTGATTATAGCCAGAATATCCATCGATTATACTAAGGTACTCGAATCCCGCTGCCAAATTGATTAACATCTCTGCCATCAATGTTGGGCATTCATCCTTTGGGGTCACAAAGTTTATATCTCTAAAGTTGATGTAGACCCTTAAGGTCCATTCTTTTTTATAACATGAACAATATTTGCAATCCATTTGGCATACCTTGTCGTTCGTATAAACTTAGATCTCAGAAGTCTTTCAATCTCCTCTTTGATCTTCGACATAATCTCTGGCGCAAACCGTCTTGGTGTATGCTTTATCGGATTTTTACTAGGCTTTATAGGCAACTTCAATTCTATCAACTCTCTTCTCAAACCATACATTTCTTCATAGTCCCATGCAAAGCAATCTTTGTAATGTTTCAACAACTGGATCACTTCAGTTCTGAGTTCTGGATCGAGATTGGTGCTAATATATGTCGGCCTCTTACTCATCCAATCTCCCAAATCGATCTCCTCCAAAGGATCCTGTGCCAGCATCTTTATGTTTGGTGCAATTGGATCCTTCTCGAACCCTAAAGACCCGACTGGTGGTGAATCAAAATAAACTCCATTAGAGAAACAACATAGAATCACCCTAGGCTTGTTATGGAGATAATTCAAATCTGGGCGCATAACAATCGGGTTACTGCAAGTAAACATAATTACCTTATACTTATACATGTTTGAATTTTTTATAGCGTAATGCTCCTTACGATGGAAATTCTACGCATTTTGGTAGGTGCAATGTAGTGATGCATGTTTAGCAATGCACCATGGAAAGCACGTCAATAATCAGCTGCCGAGAAGACAATGAACTTTTGAACGATTATTCTTGCACATATGATCTTTTGTAGAGAAAAGACAATCTGAACTTCAATGGGGAGCCGAGATTCGAAACCACCAACCTCTAAAGGTCGATATCATTGAGGAAGTAACTTCCTGAAGAGAAATACTGCAAAAATAAATTGCAATTCAGAGAAAATCTTGAATTCTGATCAGACTTCCAACTTTCTGGGGAACAAATTATTTATCTTCTATTTAGAAAGAGGAGGGTTTCGT